ATGCCGAATATAATAGAGGAGTCTGCCAGAAGAAGAGCTTGACCTCTACAAAAACCAGTCCAAAGTAGACTGCGCCTCGGTTTTACACTCTTGGTACTTTGTCAACAACACATCTACTTTCGTAGGACCAAGTTTATTATTTACTTAAGTGTCTTCTATAGCGCTGACCGTAGTTCGGTTTCTTGTTTTTTTGTTGACCAGATGATCGTTAGAAAGAGTTGTTGGTTTAATTAGTTGATTACAAATACTAATAGTAACAAATATATATACAAAAATTAAATAAAGATCTTTTATAAACTCAACAGTCTTCTCTAAAATAATTTTAATAAATTATTCAAAGAACCTAAAATATAAAAAAATTCTACTCAAAAAAGATTATTGCGAAATAATAAGCAATTTGCAAATTAGTAAATTGTCTTTTAGGATTTTAATAAAAAAATTTCTTATACATTTACTATAAAGTTAATTTTAATTTAAAATACACACAAATTCTAACATCAATATGCCTTTTGTTAGAAAATAATTGATCTCAAAAAATCAAAAATTAATCCTATATCCTGTTAATTTCTATTGAAATTCAAGTTAATAAAATAAAATTAAATATTCATAAATTTGAATCATTTTATTTTATTTACTTAATATTAGTAAAATTTAAACTTTGCCATGTTGAATAGCATAATTCAAATGCTACTCAAACTGCTATTTGAACTATTATTTAATGAATTTTGAATTATTAGCCAAAAAGTATAGCAAGCCAGATAATTTCAGTAATATATAAAATCAGTTTACTTATTTAGCAAATCAATTTTTGTTTATATGTACAAAAAGATATGAGTTTAAAAGATTTTATCAATAGCTAATTTTTTTAGGATCTGATACTTCATAAACTTAACAAGTAATAACTCAAAAGCACAAACAATAATAAAAAAGTTATAAAAAACAAAAAGCATATAATCATAAAAAAGGCATAAAAAGATAAACTAAGGATCCATAAAATAACAAAAACTATCAAATTTTTTATAAAAAGCTTGAGCAAGATTGTATAAACAGAAAAATGCAAAACCATCTAAACATGCATATATGAAAATAATTGAGATTAGCAAAATACTCATTTGAAACTTGTTAAGTTTTGCACAATAAATAATTACTTTGACTTTGTTATTAATAAAAAAAGAGCGTACAAAAGTTGATCAAATTTAGCTTTCCTGAATAAATGCATTCCCATTCACTTTTTATAGAAATCTATCGACAAATTAAAAATAAATTAGCAAGTTGTTAAGAAATATTTGCTTTTGTTTTTGTATATAACATACCAAGCAAAACTTAATAGCATATAATGGCATAAAAGTAGTTCTAGATTAAATTTGGTTTGAAGGTATTCATTATTTATTAGGAAATTTCAATAGCTGATAAATCAAAAAGAATAAAAAAACTAAATATTTCCTAAAAAGCAAGGCAAAATTGATGATATTTATAATAAATTAAAAAGGCACAGTAAATGATCAACCAACTGTCAGCATTTGAAAAACACAAAAAAAAGAAATTTAATTGTCTCAATAGACTACAATCTTTCTTGAATAAATGGTGATAATTACTGCTCTTCATACTAATCTAAAAGAAACTTAAATCTTTCTTACTAATTTGTTTAAATATTTTAAATACAAAAGTAATTTATTGGTAATATTACACAGTCACACATCCTTTATTTTACTTTTTCTCACGCAATTTTAGAACTAATTTCTAATTTAAAAAGCCACTGCTTTTCTCTTTACAAATAATTTTTTAAACTTAAAAATGTATAATGCATTAGAACTCAATAATAACAAACAAGTAAATATAAGAGAAATCTTAATTTAAAACATCAATTTCCTTTATTAATCTTAATTATTTTTATTGTAAATGATTTCAAAGAAAAATGCAAATTTATCCTCTTTACCAAGGATTATTGTTCCTTTTCCACCTGACATCAGTGCAGACAACCTAATTTATACTCCTAATTATGCAAATACTAAATCTAAAACTAAGTCTTCAAACTATTTTATAATCTATAAAAAGCAATTTTGAAAGTAGCCCAGAAGCAAGGAGTTCACTTATAAATAACTACAATATCTAAGCTGGTCAGTGCATATTAGAAGCAGGAAAGCAAGGAAGTAAAAAAAGAATATAGGCATATTGCTAACAAACTTGAATTAATAAATGCAATAAATGCAAATAACAAAAAAAGAAGAAAAAGAACTAATATAAATGAACAAGATTTTATCATATTAATACCATCACTATTAACACCAGCCCTTCTCCAACAAACCAATAGTAATGAAGTAAAAAAAATCATCAATTCAGTAATGAAATTTGAATTAGCAGATTATACCAATCTTTTTGCTTTTTTTACTCCAAAACTAGTAAATCTTTTCAATTGAAATATACTTGTTATTTTACTTTAAATAAATTAACTTATAGAGAATATAATTTTTCCTAATTTAATATGAAAGATAAAAGCAAATCTTATTTATTACCTGCGATTAAGCTTACTACTATATTAACCAAATTTAGAAAGAACTATTTAAATTTAAAAGAAAGTTGTATAAAAAATTATCATGTTAACAATTTGATTAATGAAACTAAACTACAAAAGTAAAAGTATTTGCTATTAAATTCCTGCACAAAATCTATTCTAAGTCTTTTTTGTATTTAACTCCTTTTATTTAATTCACTTTTATTGAAATAATAATTCACTCTATAATATACCAGTTCTGAAAAATAGCTCAAAACCAATAAACATTTTATTCGAAAATGTAATATTTAAAAAAAACTCAGTAATAAAAGTTTGATCTAACATAGTATTAATTTGATACTATATCTAAAAAGATATATGAAAAATGAATTAAATAATAAAAAGATAGGTTAGATGCATTATTAATATTTCAAAAAAATTTTTCTAATAAAAAACATTTTATTATCTATATAAATTACTAGCTAGAGCAGATTTTAAATATACTCAATGTCTTTTTTTATTATTAGTTGTATTTACACCATTTTTATAGCAAAATCCTAGGTTAGTTGTCTTTAAAAATTATTATCTTTAAAAAATTTAATACTACTTTTTTTTTATTAATATAACAAATCCAATATTACACTGTCTAATTAAAGTGTTAAATTCAACAGATTTTAACTACTACTTATATGTCTTTTTTTGGATGTTCTATAGAATAGGTGGGCAAACTCTGCAAACTCCACAACTCCAGTATTAACAAATTAATAATTACTAATTAGTAGTAATTCTTATTTTTTATATTGCCCACTATTCTATAGAACAACCCTTTTTTATTGCTAACTATGTTTATATATTTTTTATAGCTAAATCCAATATTAAACTACAAATTAACAGTTTAAATAACTTTAAACACCATTTAAATAACTTTTATACTATACTGCTCACTCAAATTGCCAACTTCAATAGATTTCAATTACTATTCAAATACTTTTTTATATTAATAGTTGTATTTGTATCTTTTTAATAGTGAATCCAAGATCCAAGTGAGGAGCTAACAAAACTATTAATAATCTCTCAAAACTACACAAATCTACCAACTCACTTTTTATAAAACAACCATCTAATTCTCTTTAAAATACGAACTTTTATTAAAAATATATATACTTTACAAGAACTTTATTTATAGTCTTCACTTAAAATATTTAAAGATATATCTGAAATTAACTGAAAATTATGTTTTAATATGTTAAACTCTCTAGAATATAATCTCTTAAAATATTCCTTAAGAATTAAAATTCTAACCAACAATCTTTCTATTATAGAAAATCTTAATATCTGTTACTCCTACTTGTATATTACACCTAACTGCACCTGCTGTTCTAATTTAGAAAATACTTTACATTTACTTTTTTGTCCTAATAATAATATAAATTTTTAATATTCATTAACAAATATAATCACTAATACACTCTCTTCCCTAAAGATAACAACTATATCCTCACCTACAATTCTCAATATTCTTTTGTGATTTATACTTAATAACTTAAACATACTTTATAACCTCTTTTTATACTATACTATTAGTATTTACCCTTTAATGATTTATGAAAATATTAAATCACATACAGCAAAACAAACTAAACAATTTTTAACTACTCTATCTAACAACCTTTTAAACTGGTTTTACACAGAAATATGGACTATACAAAACATTTCTCAACATCAATAGGAACAAGCCCAAAATATTACCTTCAAAACTAAACAAATTAAATATATTTTACCAAATATTTCCTTCACACCAAATACTTCTTCATTAAATATATCTCAAATAGATTATTCTTCTTTTATAGAGAAATAGTTTTTACAAGGCTTTTCTTTAACTAATTGTATTTCTTAAATGCTATAATATATACCTTAGATTTCCTTCAACCTACTCTAGCTAATTAGTTATATAATAATTAATAAGCACTTTATAGAAAATTAGTGAGTATAATGTCACATTGGATGCCTTTTTATTAGCACAAATGTAGTTTGAAATCTTTAAATATAGAATTCTTTTCTATTTTATTAAATAAAGTTTCAACTATAGTATTTAAAATATATATATATATATATATATATAGAGTGGTATTGTTTAATAACATAAACTATATATTGTATTAAATAATTATAAAGATAGTAATAATGAAATAGAATATAATGATTATTTAAAAATTTAGTAAAAAATAAAATCTTTATTAATAGCTTCACTAATAATAACTATTTATATATAAAATTTTTATTTTTTATTTTTTTTTTAACTAGCCTCTTTGGCATAAAGTTTTTTATTCAAATATACTAAGCGGGAGGCTTATAATAGAACCTCTATTATATTAGAATATACAACCAGCTATATATACAACTTTTGACAGCCTATTTAAATAGTCTGCAATAGTATACTATAAGAATTATACAATTTGCTATACCTATAACCCAACTAGTAAATTATTTATTTTAATCTCTGTAATGCAACCCTCTTGTATCACCAGGACATCTTTGTTATATTTGTTAGTCAAGAAGTTCTGGATGCTTACTATAGCCTTAGAACTAATTTATCTTCAAAGCATTGTTGCTAGAGCTTTTCATATCTACAATTTGGCTAATCTAGACTTCGGTAATATATGCCGAATATAAAGACAAGTACTTGTGAACCAAACTGCTACTGTTATTTACTTTTGCCTTTGTAGAGTTTACTCAAACCCCAGTATCTACTTTACAGACTATTACCAATACATCTGACATTACTAAACTACCAAACATGATACCTAGAGGCAACTTTCGCACACAGATTTACTGGTTCCTAGTATTTTGCAGTTAAGCAGATCTTTTTCCTTCAGTTCTGGTAGCCAGGTGGGTGGAGTGTCGACTCAAATACTTGTCATTTAACATCCCAAACTCCCAATTCAGATGGCCTGAAGGAGACTTTTGCCTGCAGGTTTACCAGTTCTCTATTATTCTGTGATTCAGCAGATCCTTTTCTTCTAACTCTGGTGGCCTGATTGGTGGAATGCTTTGCTATACACTTTGGTTCATTTAGTATTTACTAGTTCCCTCAATAATAGTTCTTTATACTATCAAAGATCTGTGCTACCTTTCTATTTGGATTTTACTAAGCAAACATTCATTCTTCTAGTTTCTCAGATTAATGTAATCATTGAACTTCTATTTGTATAACTCATATATAACATAAATGCCCTATAATCTTCCAATCTAGTTGATGTCACCAAAATTACAGAGATCTTATTCTAACTGATTGACAAAAGATAGTAAGTAGTTGTTATACAAATAGAATTTTCAAAATTCGTCACTAGTGGGTTTTAAACCTTCTACTTAGCTGACAAGTTGCTTAGATATGCAACAACTTACCAACTTTATTAAGTCACCACACCCTTATAAGGTTTTTAATTAATTTAATTAGATAATATTATAATAGTAAAATCTAAAATTTACTAATTAACATATTTACATTATAAAAGATGCAATTTTTAAAAGTGTGGTGACTTGGTATAGTTGGTAAGTTGTCACACCTCCAAGCAGCAGGTTCAGAGTTCGAATCCTATTTATGACGAAATTCAGAAAATATATCTATGTTATAGCAACTGCTTCTGTCACATGGGTTAGATACTTGTAATGTGATCACATCAATTTGTTTAGGAAATTATGGGCATCTGTATTATACAGAGGAATACAAATTAGTATTAGATAATACAAACTCAAGATAAGTCCTTTTGCCAAGTATAAAATCTGTGTACATAGAAAGGTCACAGAAGCTTGTTTAAAAGATCCAAGTAAGAAGATAGTAAAGATCTTTGATGATACTGCAGGAAACCAGAACTGGAGACTGAAGAACTGGACGAAAAACCCTGAAGCAAGAAGGACTCACCAATCTAGCTACTAGAGTCATAAGTCATACTGAAAGAAAAGGTCCTATACTATAGAATTAGAAACCAAGGGAAGTATAACCAGAAGGCACTTAAAGCTAAGGTACAATGACCCACCTAGGCTAACTAATTTGGTAGTTAGGGAGAAATTGGTAATAGAACTCATTGAACATAGTATTAGGATTGAAATAAACCTTGCAAGGGTATAAATACTGGAATTGTGCATTTTAATAATTAGCTATGACTGCTAGTGGTAGTTTTGGCTGCTGCAAAAAGTATTTGAAAAAGTCTAGTCTAAAAATGTGTAGGATATAAAAGGATTAGAGAGCATCTGCAATACTCACATATAGAGATCTATAGATAACTAAGATAATCTAGTTCAGATAAAAAGGATAGCAGATGGCACTTTAGTATAAAGGTATCTAGTTTAGAATAATTGGTAGGTATATAAATACTAAAATATAGATCCATGTGGTCAATGACAAACATTAATAAAGCTTGGTCCTAAAGGAGACCTTAATTGAAAAAAAAAATACAATTTTTAATATTTATTTTGATAAATTTTTGGACTATAGCAAAATTTTTTCCTTTAGCAATCCTGTTTATTTTATTATAAGAACAGACTTTTATTATTATATTAGCTCACAAAGAAATCTAAACATAAAATGTTCCAATCAGAAGATAAACTCATCCACAGCTTTATTTTGCAGATGCTATAACATCTACTTGCAGCCAGGTTGAACCATTAAACTGCTATATTATGCGACCTGTCTAATGAACAATTGGCCTCCTCCAGAGAACCAAAATTTACTCAAACTTATTTCTTTAGATTCCTTAGCTGGTTGTTGCACTACCCTATCAAAATTTCTGCCTTATAATAGAATACCACCAAACTGATAACACTTTCTCATAGAGAAGAAATAAAGAAAAAAAAAGGAATAATAGAGAATGAAAAAAAAGTGTATATAATAAAAACTAATATATCAAAGAAAACAGGTACTAATACTAAGGAGTAAAAATTTAAATAAAAATCTAATAGAAACTATCACTAAAAAGAAAAAAACCTGCTAACCAGGCAAAAACTTCTAATTATACAGAGTAACGATTTACTATTAAGTATGAGTGTCTTGACAAAAATATATAACTAAAACAAAATACACTATAACTCGTGCTAAAGGCTAAAAATTATATACAAGACACGTTGTATATCTCAATATATTTTGC